ACAATCTGTACTTTAAATCATCATCAATTTTGGTGTTTGATCCCGTATAATAGCCCACATCTAAAACATAAATATTTGAATAATGTATTTTCTTGCGTCCTTTTTGCCATTTCAAATGTTGAACCGACCTGTAATAATTAAAAAACAACAACAACAACAACAACAACAACAACAACAACAACAACAACAACAACAACAACAACAACAACAACAACAACAACAACAACAACAACAACAACAACAACAACAACAACAACAACAACAACAACAACAACAACAACAACAACAACAACAACAACAACAACAAAGTATTAATTCCATTTGTACACAAATATTTACTTCGATGAAGATTTAAAAGAAAATGAATACGAGTAGGTAGTCTACTCTTAGGCATCAAATCCTTTTAATTTTAATTTAAATTACAAAAATTATAACACCACTTACTTCAATACTAATTCACAGCACTATTATTTCACACACTGCACTATTACTTCGCTTATATCGCCTTAGTCGCATAGCATTGGATCACTTTCCAAGACAGAACTGAGAGGTGAGTCTTTACTACAATTTATTATGGCAAATAATTTAGACATAACAAATGTAGGCAATAAACCGACCTTTATAACAAAAAACAGAAAGGAGGTACTAGATGTAACAATAGCATCAACATACTTGAGTAACTTTGTTACAGACTGGCATGTGTCTGACAAAGAGAGTTTATCAGATCACAGACACATAAACTTCAATATTAAAGGTAATATTGCAAAAGAAACTTATCGGAATCCCAGGAAAACAGACTGGGAGGCATACAATGCTTCCCTGGAATGTAATCTTCCGAAGATGAGAAAGACGATAAGAACAACAACCGACCTAGAAATGGCTGTGGATGAGTTTAATGACACAGTCACTAGCGCTTTCAACGATACCTGTCCCTTAATAGCAAGGAACTCTACCAGGAAAGTTCCATGGTGGAATGATGACCTGGCTATACTAAGGAAACAGGTGAGACAAAAATTTAATAAGGCTAAAATAACCGGCGAATCGGAACTATATAGAACCATACGCACCTGTTACAACATAGCTTTACGAAAAGTCAAGAGAGAGTCTTGGAGAAGGCACTGTGAGGAGATAGCAAGCACTCAAGAATGTGCCAGGCTCCAAAAAATTCTCTCAAAAGACACACAACACACAATAAACACCCTTAAGAATGAACTTGGGGAGTACACAATCACAGGGAAGGAAACAGTAAGGGAACTCTTCAGGGTTCACTTCCCTGGTGCACAAACCATAGCACACACACAGGCTAACCGCAATCTAAACGGACTGGAAGCTCATAATAGAGCCAACAGGAAAGATTGGAGGATAGCCAAACAAGTGGTGAACTATGATAAACTGAAATGGGCAATTAGCTCATTCGAACCATATAAATCACCGGGCATGGACGGGATTTATCCAATAACGTTACAAAGAGGTCCTGATATTTTATACAGCAGACTCTGTAACATACTCAGAAGTAGCCTGGCCTTTGGACACATACCAAAAGCTTGGAGAAATATTAGGGTAACTTTTATACCAAAACCTGGGAAAATGGGACAGGAAACGGCAAAATCCCTAAGACCAATAAGTCTTATGTCCTTCGTACTTAAGACTATGGAAAAACTGCTAGATAGGCATATTAGAGACGGGATATTGGTTCAAAGGCCAATATACCAAGACCAATACGCCTATAGTGCAGGGAAATCAACTGAAACAGCTCTCCATCAACTAATAAAAAGGGTGGAGAACACACTGGAAAACAAGGAGGTAATGCTGGGAGCATTCTTGGATATCGAGGGTGCATTCGACAATACCTCCGTTGAATCGATCATTAGATCTCTCAAACACAGAGGAATCGAGGACACATGCGTGTCCTGGATCGACTCTATGTTAAGGGAGAGAACTATACACACAACCCTTATGGGAGAGACAACAGCGGCACGGGTAGCGAGAGGATGTCCACAGGGTGGAGTGCTGTCTCCACTCCTGTGGAACCTTGTAGTGGACGGGCTTGCTTAGGGCTCTCAAAGATAAGGGACATAGAACCCTGGGATATGCCGATGATCTAGTGATCATGGCACAGGGAAAATACAACACTATAGTAAGAGATCGAATGCAAGAGGCTCTAAATATAGTTACAAAATGGACAGAGGCGGAAGGACTAAACATTAGCCCAAACGAATCTGACATAATTGCATTCACCCGCAGGAGGAAATTGGAGGGACTAGGACCTCTAAACCTAAGAGGTGCAAGCATCCAGCTTAAGGGGGAGGTAAAATATCTCGGGGTTATGATTGACTCGAGACTTACCTGGAACCAGCATCTAGAAAGAACCACAAGGAGAGCGGAAATCTCATTAATGATGGCAAGGCGATCCTTTGGAAAAAAATGGGGGTTAAAACCAGACATGGTATATTGGATTTATAACATGGTGGTGAGATCCATAATAACATACGCAGCTTTGGTGTGGTGGCCAAAGACACAGCAAAGGAAAGCAATAACGAGGCTTAGCAAGGTACAAAGACTTGCCTGCCTCGGAATAACGGGGGCAATGAAAACAACCCCCACTGCTGCAATGGAAACACTAATAGGACTCCCACCTCTTCACTATGTGATACAAGGGGAGGCAAGATTAGGTGCTTACAGATTAGGGAATACACTGGGAAATCTTGACATTAGGCCAGGTCACATGAGTATCTCAAGGTTAGTGACAGGAGACGTGCTAGACATGAGATCAGACCACTTAACCAAGAGGTACTCTTTTAATACTCCCTTTGAGGTTTTAATACAGGAAAGAGCGGAGATCACCATAAAGGAGCCCAATGCCCAACGACAGAAACAAACCTGGTATACAGACGGGTCTAAGACTGCGGAAGGCACTGGGGCAGGAGTATTCTCCAAAAACCCTGATACTAACCATAGCTATGCTATAGGAATACATTCCTCGGTATTTCAGGCCGAGGTATACGCAATTTTGCAATGTGCAAAAACGAACAATGAAAGAGCTGTCGAAAATCAGCATATTAAAATAATGTCAGACAGCCAAGCGGCACTTAAGGCCATATCGAGTCAGAAAGTTACGTCGAAGCTGGTATGGGAATGCATCGAAGAACTAAGAACACTGGCAGACCGTAATAGAGTAAAACTATTTTGGGTGCCAGGTCACAAAGGGATCGAAGGCAACGAAAAGGCTGACGAACTTGCAAAAAGAGGGTCAGAAGAAACACCGGAACCAGACACAAACCCAGGAGTACCAAAAAGTACAGTCCGGGGTTTTATAAATGACTGGATTCGGGAACAACATATCAACTATTGGGGAAGCACCCCAAAACAGGCACATGGAAAAGCCTTCATAGGCAGACTATGTCCCAAAAGAACTACTCTTAATGAATACTAACCAGTTGAAAGTGATAACAGGGTTCATGACTGGGCACGCCCCAGTAAAGGCCCCATAAAGGCACACAAAATTGGCATGTACAATGGGGAACTCATGTGCCGACTATGTCACAAGAAACCAGAAACGGCCAAACACATACTGTGCGAATGCGAAGCTCTAGATCGCAAAAGACAGGCTCTTTTTGGACAACCCCAGGTTGATCCAACAAAGTATAGAACCCACTCACCCAAGGATCTGTACAAACTTGTACAAGGTACAAAGGTGATAGAGTGGGTGCTATGAACTAACATGGGGTAAAACAATAAGCCAATAGGCTTCAGTGTTATTCGGAGACACATAGTCAGACGAGCCCAGGAGAGAAAAAAAAAAAAAGACAGAACTGCCTCTCCGTGCTCGACGGCTCGCTTATTCCGCAGACGCGGCGCAACGAAACATCGAGAATAACCCGTCTTATTTAATGCTTATTAAATTTTCCCGAAATGCAGTTCGAGCACGTCCCCGAAGTTGCGTTGCTTGTGTAGTTGGCGTAGCACGTAGTTTCGCCGCTCCGTAATAGATGTCGCTACGCCGCTATTTAAGTATCGTCGTGCGAATACCAAACGAGCATTAAGTCATACATAATAAAAATAACAGTAGGTAGAGAATTTTGTTTGTAGTGATTAACTATTATTTTTTGTATAACAACAAAGTGAGACGGGCGCACTGTATATAACTGCAGTCTCATTAATACTGATTAAAAGTCTAAAATAAATATTTTTTCGGGAATCAATCCCCCTTGATCCTCCCTGGCTATGGCCTTGATCTTAACATAAGATTAATAGAAACGGAATTTTTTTTTATAAAGTCCCCTCATTGGTAAAATTCTATGAGAAGTTAAAATGGATAAAAAACATTTACAATTTTTGTTACTTTTATCACCAAAACATGTCTGTCTTAAATCTGTCATTATAAAATTTACTTTTTATTGTTATTTATTAAAAACCTACTGCCCGGTTAGTTGGATTTAATGTGGGAGTATTAAATGAGTGAGTAATTATGTTTAAATAGATAAATTATTTTTAATAGTATTTTTTTTTCATCTGACGATCATCATCGGTGTCTAAAACTTTCAGGAAGAAACATTTGATAATTTACTAGCATTAGGGGATAATTAAGATGTAGTGACAATAAAAGATAATGAAGCTTTATGAATTTAAATAATTTCTAAGCCATACTTATAAATATATTTCAAATTGTTTAGTAGGTAGTTTAAAAAATTATAATAAAAGTTAATATAAACTGAACAAACGATCACTCGGAATATATTCTAAAGAAATAACGTTTCTTTTTCCACTTTAGTGTTATCTAACCGAATATATTCACGATTCTTTTTTATAAATTGTAATCCATCTTTGTTTCAGCTCTGGAAACTTGGGAGAAAATTACAATAAACGGCAGCGCCAAACCGCAACCTAGATCGGAAAGTATAGCCATTATCATTTCTGAACTACTCCTTAACGGTTCTTCCACTGCTTCCTTTGATTCTAAATCCTTAAGAATTCGGACAAGGACGTGCACGTCAGCAGATCGGGGCAATCGACATTCATCCTACCTTCCAAACAATAAGGTTGGTTAAAAGTTTTATTCAAATACTCAATATGAAGAAAAATAGTAAAGTTAAATTTGTGGTTTTTAATATTTATCACAAAATATTTTTCTCATTTTAAAATTAAGTAAAAATAGTCAGCAGCGTATTATAGCCATAGAAAATGTATAATGTTCAATTCACACGTTAAATCAAAAACAAACAAAAAAATATCAGCTTAAAATTTTCAGGAAAAATTAGGCTCTATAAAGGGACGACGCCTATTGACTTAAAACAAAATTTGATTAAAAATGGAAAGCATTATACAGGGTGTTATTGAAATACACGTACACATTAAAACTGGGTATTGCGCAGATTTCCACTGAATGTAGAAAAATATTATTTTTTAAAAATACCCCTTATTAAGGGAGTTATTAATTTTTGAAGATTAATTCTAAAACAAACGTACTTCACTGATATGTTGAGGATGACCTATATAAATTAGGTTTATTTACCTATTTTAAACATCAACAGTAATTAATATGCAAGTTTTTGTCAGATGATAAGAAAACTAGTCTTGTAAGTAATAACCATGTTGCCAAGATTTTCGAATTAATTTCTATTTCCGAAGACTGGTTTTTACTACCCTCGTTATCAAAAAACTAGAATATTTGATAAATGATTGTTTTTAAACTATACATTTTTGAAACTATAGATTATTAAAATTTTAGTTGATTTACGAATCTGGCTAACACGAGCGCGTCATTTCCAAGTTGGTAAAAAGTGTTGTTACGATTATTTTTAAATATTTTTTTACGATGCCACTATTTACGAATATTGAACTAACGGATATAGTGCTGGTTTATGGGGCAGCTGGAGAAAATTCTCGGCAAGCACAAATCCTGTATCGCGAACGGTTTCCAAATCGGAGAATTCCGGACTGTCGTACATTTATTTCAACTGTTCAGCATCTAAGAGACCATGGAAAATGTGAGTGTCAATGCAGATCGAGGGAGAAGAAGAACACAAAGAACATTGGCGGCCGAAGAAGAAATATTGGAAGCTGTTGAAAACCGGCCTCAATTAAGTTGTAGAAGACTAGGTCTTGAAATTGGAGTGTCCTCATTTGTTGTGTGGCGGACACTTAAAGAACAAGGTTTACATTCTTATCACATCTAAAAAGTCCAGGCCTTATATCCAGGTGATGAAGAAAAGAGAGTGGAGTTTTGTGAATGGATGATTCAAAAATGTGTTGATATTCCTGATTTTCTAAAAATATTATTGTATACTGACGAGGCTTCATTCACTCGTGATGGCGTGTTCAATATGCACAATACGCATATTTGGAGTGATGAAAATCCTCACGCCATTAGGGAAACTGGGCATCAAAGAAAATTTTCAATAAATGTTTGGGCTGGCATAATAGATCAGTATTTAATCGGGCCTTATGTTTTCCCGAACAGATTAAATGGGCCAGGATATCTCCACTTTTTAGAAGATATTTTGCCAGTACTCCTAGAAGAGATACCGTTACAATTAAGGCAACGGATGTGGTACCTACTAGATGGCGCTCCTCCTCACTTTGATTTAAACGTACGGCAGTTTTTGAACATTAGATTTCCTCAAAAGTGGATAGGCAGAAATGGACCTACTAAGTGGCCTCCGAGATCTCCGGACTTAAATCCATGCGATTTCTTTTTGTGGGGTCACATGAAACAACTGGTTTATAATGAACCTATTAATAGTGTTGAACAATTAACCAATAAAGTTAATGCGGTAGCCGAGGAACTACGACAAAATCCAAGACTAATTTCTAATGTTCAAAGTTCTTTGGAAAGACGATTGCAAGTGTGTGTAAAAAATAATGGACGGCATTTTGAACAATTACTGTAATAAACTTTATTTTGAATTAATTGGTTTTGCTACGGCAACAGTGCAATTTCTATGGGTAAGTTTAATTTCGATTTATTTTACTTCTTTAAATATGGAAACTAGTAGGTCGGAAAAGGGGACTCTTCCCCAATATTTAAATTTTAGAATTTGAAGTTAAAATTGCTGCCAATCGTTTTTGGTCATTACATACTATTCCCCATTTTAATATGTACGTGTATTTCAATAACACCCTGTATATCTTCATTCTAGTTAGTATTTCAAGCTTCTATAAAATTGCTAATAGTAGATTGTGAGTAAAATTATATACGTACTTTGGGGAACTCAGTCTAGTCTCGCGTCTGTAGCCCTGCAAAAAAAACGAAGTTTTAGTTTTGTATTAAACTTGTGAAAGAGAAGGGGAGAGCTTTTGGCTCGAAAAAATAAAAATATAGTGAGCGGTTAGAAAGAAATGAATGGCTTTATGGATAGTATAGAGGACGAGGAATTACTACAGTGGTTTAGAAACGTGGCCTACTTTGTTTAAATAATAGTTCTATCTGTAATATATGAAATAATTATTCTTCATGTATTGGATTTTGTTGCTTCGTACATCTAGACTGGCGTTTCTTTAGGTAAAATCTAAACATGGTTCAAATAGTTAAACAGAAAGTGCATTACACTCTCTTGTTTACAAAATTGAGAAAGTAAACAACCAAAAGGAGCTTTCTAAACATATATTACGAATTTTTGCCAATAATAGAGCATACTAAATATGACTCGAAGCCGATGAAAAGTTTTATAAGCTTCTTAGATTTAAAAATTGAGAAAAATGAAACAAAGTAGATTTTTAAAAGAAAAATTGAGTTTTTCGGGAGATTATGACTCGTAGGAGTCCGAAAATAAACTTTTCGTCCGTGTTACATACATTATTTTTTAATCTGAAATGATATTATTTGTTGGCTATGAGAACAATTGAAAAATTTTTGTCGTGTTACTCTACTTATGTCAAAATAATTTAATTGCCTAGCAGGGCTGGTATATCTAAGGGGGTCGCGACATAGGAGTCCATTTTGGACGCCATTTTTTTCGAAATAGTAGTCACATAGTAGTCGCCATTGATCTGGCAACGTGGCAACTTGTAGTCGCCAGGTTTACCAATATAAGAAAAAAAATCAATGTCATTTCTTAAATGACATTTCCATTATAAAATGCCCATATTTTTTAGGATAAAATATTTCAATTTAATAAATTATTAATCTCAGATGTACATAAAATACGTCGGGAAAAGTAGATCACTTTCAATTTTGTGCTGTTTTAGTTTTGTTTATTTTAATGCATAACAAATTATTGCTCCCTTTTTTAGAGCTCCAGTCCCTTAAGTCTATTTATTTTAGGTCTTTTTAAATTGTAGGTAGGTATTATTCACTTCATTTGTATGTTTTTAGTTAATTTAAATAATTTTGTGTAATATCTTGCGATTTGTTTTCTATACATTTTAGCATGTATTTGTTGTCTACATCTTACAAAGGATGGATTTGAAATACCTTTACAACAGAGGTACTTTCCTAAAACTGGCCGAAATTTGAAACTGAATACAGTTCTTAGAGAAAATCTCCAGTAAAAAATGTCTGCATGCAGAATAACAGTAGCATAGATTAACAAAGCTGACAAAAGAGTTGGACAAACCTTTGTCTAGCTTTTTTAATATTTCAGGACAATAGTGTTAACAGCAGACTACAACAAAAACATCCAAAGTTTAGTAATCAAGCAAAATATTCCGGTATCTATATTTTTATTCAAAACTTTTGTGCTTCTACTCCAATACTAACCATATAGAAGCATATGCATTTTATAGTATTTGCAAGATTCGGATCAAATGTACCCACAATTTATAAAGATTATTAAACTAAAATAAAACATTTCAAATAACACCTGCTTTTATGTTAAATATGTTTTTATTAAATACATAAATTAGTCTCAACCACACATTTTTGTTTTGTTTTTACTTCTACTTTAAAAGTGACTACTAATTCAATCTTTCAAGTTTATTGTTTATAGAGACCAGCTACTACAAAATATCTTATTGATGATAACTAATTTCTCTTTAATAATGGTTTTGCATTTATTAACATTTTACAGCACTTTGTTTATATGAAACCTCTATTTAACTTTTAATTAAATCACATTTAAATCAAGTAATTACATTTTCATATTCAACTTATGTATTCTTATTAGAACTTGGTCACTTTTTTTTACTTTGAATCTTTTGACTGTGGTAACAGTCCATTCACCAAACCACAAAGTCACTTAAAAATGTTGAAAGAGAATGTCATAAAGGTAAAATTCCTTCTTCTATCATGTTTTTCATGCAATTTTAGGTTGTAAACGTTTTATCCAACACATTTTTTACAATTTATCCCAAGCAACACTATGAAAGATTTAAATCCTGGATTTACAGCATTCAGTTTTGAGATGAGTGCAATCACAGTGTAGTTTAAGAGATAATTTACACATGAACACTTATTTACCACAGCAAAAACGCATGTACCTATTCATGTAATATTAAAATAAAGTGGAAACAAATTGCATAATTTGGTATATAAAAAAGTACAAAATGTTTTTAGTTTTAATTCGACATTGGACTACGAGGAAAACAGTGGTTCATTCCACTTGTACCATATTGACATTATTATGCACGATGCTCGTTCAAACGAACGTCAGAAAAGTGTTGCCAACTTAAGCTGACTACTATTTCCCCCCTAGCCTCAGTCACCCCCTCATCCATTTACTGGGTCTATGTCGCGACCCCCTTAGATATACCAGCCCTGTTGCCTAGTTATTAAAAATTGGTGTCAAAAAAACTATTACAAAAATGAGTAGTGATGAAGAATTCATTATGGGACATCCCAGAAATTGGAGACGCGGCAGTAATAGTAGTAATAACTACAATTATTTTAATTGAAAAATGCAAATTAATAATTTCCATGCATTTCATGGGGTGGGTAGGTAAATGTAATTTGACATTTCATTTAATTATTAAAATAATTTTTCTGTTCATGTTACTCGATTTAGGTAAATTTGTAAACAATTTCATTAATTCGACAATTAAAAATAAAATCTGACATAATCTAATCTAATTTATTGAAGCGGTTACCTAGCAACTTTTATAA